CCCCAAAACCCCAAAACCCCAAAACCCCAAAACCCCTCAGATAGATATAATATTGATCAATGGGTTAACAATCATTCTTAGGGGAGCATGAGTGGTTATGGATATCTAAAAGAGCCTTCAGATGCTCTTTGATAGACTCGTCTCAGGATATAACTTCCTTAGCGTTATAATCTACCTTAGCTACCAGTTCTTGAGACGAGTCGAATATTTCAATCATATTATCTTCTACAATGCTGATCTCTTCTCAATGCTCCCTTAGAACTTTTTTAAATGCTTCAAATTGGAGTTTTTCGAGTTGCTTTTCCTTACAATGATTTGTCATATTGTAAACCATACTTGCTGGAGGATTATTTGCTATAAGATCATTAAGAGCTCCTCACCTAATTGGATGATTAATAAAGCAATTGCATCAGCAAGAAGATCGGATTTAGCACTGCTGTCCCATTTTAGCTCAAAGCTTGCTGATCTATTTTCTATAAACTAAGTCTATATCTTCAATTTTGAGATTGATATCATTGACTAAATCCTCAGTATTCCCACTAACCACTTGAACTTTGTCAAAAAGATCTTCCGCTGCTTTAATGAAGAATCCTGGGTCATATTCGAACGGCATGACCAGTTGTTGAGATACTTTGTGTCTAGAAAGAGAGGCAAAATCCTGGATCTCGGTTTCATTGATGATCATGTTATCAAACTGGCTTTCAACAAAGAGACCCTCTATTGATACCATATTGTCATCATATTCCTTTATAATTGCTTCTTCTTGCTCAATCTCAAGTTTTGTTTCTTCAGGATGTCTATCTTGGTAGTCTAGTTCAGAAATAGTGTTGTCTATTTTTAATCTCTCGCTTGAAGGAGAATCTAAAGAGGTTTTTATTATAAAATACCTTCTTGACTGAATTTTATTAGACCTCAGTCCTCACTCAAATTATGAGGGATGTTGTTGGGCATACCTAAGGTTATTGCTAAAGATACCTTTGCCAAGTGCCAGATAATCTGAATGAGTCAAGAAATTATCTAAATTTCTTTTGGCTTTTCCAACAACTTTTGCAGATTTTTCAGTGAAAAATGTAAAAATAAGTGATTGGCAGTTTTGAGGACAGTGTACATTTATCTGGTTCTTGTGTTCTAGTTCTAGTGCTTTATTTTAGCTTTGCCATTTCATTTTGCCCACCATGCACGAGCACCTAGACATGACACAGAAAGTTACAATATTAGCAGGCTTAATTTTTCTGATAAAATGGGAGGTTTGTTTAAAGTCACAATGAGCAGAAAAATCGATGACTGCTACATCCATTTTTAATTTCAGTGTTTTATGTTTATGGCTAATTTGGATCTCATTTGGCTGGTTCATAATTTGTTGTGCTAGAGTCCCTTCAACACTATATCCCGTAAAAATTACCCCACTATTCTCATCTTCGCACCATTCTTCAAAGAGATATCTTGAGAGGCCGCTTTGAAGCATCCCAGGTGTAGCAATAATGACTAATGGCTTCTTTTCCATATAATCTTGACTATCTTCAAAGTGGAATGGATTTTCTCCTTGTTCGATCTATAATCAGTCAATAGATTTACCTTCTCTTTTGTATCTTCTCTCATCATATTTCTATAAGTCTGGAATACATTGAGACTTTTTGTAGCAAGTAGACCTGTATAATAAATTGGAACGTCTTTTAGCTCCTCATGTTCCTTCCAGTACTCGTTGAGGATCAGAAGAAGCTCCTGAGCCTTTCCTAACGCAAATCATGGAAGTAGTCACCTCCCTCCTTTATTTAATGATGTCATGTACTCTGGATTTGAATTTTTCCTCTCTCAAATCTCTTGGCTCATGGAGCCTTATTCCATAGGTTGATTCAACAATGAGGATATCAACATTTCACTTTGGAATTTCAGCTGGTTTTAAGTGTCTATCTTCTTCTGTGGAGTAATCACCAGTATAAAGAATCTTGACCCCTCCAATATCTACTAAGAACATGGCTGCTCCAAGGACATGGCCTGCAATGTAGGCTTGGATCTTTACGTCGTCAAATTCTAATTCTTCATGGAACCTGATAGGAATTATCTTGTCCATTGAGTCACTGAGGTCACTCTCATCAAACAGAATGTCAATTTCTCCTACATTGCAGATTCTTATGAAATCCTGAAGCACATAGTTATAAATGGCTTTAGTAGGATGTGTCATGATCACTTTTCCTTTAAAATTCGTCCTTGCCAAAAAGTAAGGTAAAGCTCCACAATGATCGATATGAAAATGGGTCACTAATAAGATGTCAATATCCTCTGGCTCGATAAAGTCAAAGTATGGTAGCCCATATATTCCATGATGAGCAGGATGAAGCCCACAATCAAACTATGGATCAGAAGGTTTTCTTACTAATATTCTCTTGCCTCTATAGACAAGAAGGACTCAGCTTCTTCCTACTTCTTTACCTGCACCAAGAGGAATGATTCTAAGAATTTCTGTTTCCATGTCTTTGCTTATTTTTGTTAATTTTCAAGATTTTTAATTGAAATTGGGGTTTTGGGGTTTTGGGGTTTTGGGGTTTTGGGG